TTCCTCTCCTGCCATTTCCACTACCCCCGTCCTGCCTCTTATTAGCTCCCCTATGGCTTCTGACCGTGTCTGTATACTAGTTTTCGGCTGCAAGCTTAAGAAAACCCATTCCAATATGTAAAGTGGATCATTGCCCTTAGCAGGCTTGTCAGTGGCAGAATCAGGGCCATTCAGTGACACTGCATAGGGGCGAGCCTCCCCTTTCTTGTTTTACCACTGGCAAACAAGGGCATAAGGCAACTCTTCATGGTTGCAAATAAGCAAGGAGACAGGTAGGGTTAGGAATCATCTAGCAGTCCAGGCTGCTTGAAGCTTCTGTACGATGTGTTGCAAAGCTGTTTGTTGTGTCTCTGATAGGGTGATCTCAGTGCTGGGGTGTGAACTGCGTAGCAGTAAGGTTAACGGTGCAATCTCAGCATTGGAAATGCCAGCACAGTTGTGCACCCACTGGATATCTCCGAGTAAAGTCTGTACATCAGTTAGCGTATGCAAGTTCGTTGCTAGCTCCACTTTTTGTGGTTTGATCTTGGCATCAGAAATGCGCCATCCAAGATAATTCCATGGTGCAGATCGCTGGACTTTTTCCAGGGCGACAACAAGGCCTTTGCTGGCTAAAACAGTAGTCAGCTGCGTCAAGGAATTGTCGTCGAACGCTTCTTGTTGGCAGCAAAGGATGTCATCCATATAATGATAAATGATCGTGTTCAGCCATTGTTTTCTGAGGGGGGATAATGCCCAAGCCACATAAAGTTGACATAGCATGGGTGAGTTTCTCATGCCCTATGGCAGAACAACCCACTCATATCGTTCTGAAGATGCTGCTTTGTTGGTAACCGGTATCGAAAAGGCAAATCGCTGAGTGTCTTGCGGATGCAAAGGAATAGTAAAGAAACATTCCTTGTAAGTCAACAGTGATTACTTGCCAACCTGCTGGCAGCATGGCAGGTGATGGCATTCCAGGTTGTAAAGCTCCCATGGGTTGCATTTGCTCATTTATTTTACGCAAATCATGTAAGAGACGCCATTTACCACTCTTTTTCGGAATGACGAAAATGGGGGTGTTCCATGGGCTAACTGAAGGCCTGATGTGGCCTGCAGTGAGCTGTTCTGCTACTAATTGTCTCATTACTTGCAGTCGCTCTTCTTTCATGGGCCACTGGTCAACCCACACGGGTTCATTGGAAAGCCAGGTTAACGGTGGTTTGGGCAACTGCTCGCCAGTGGCCATGACTAAAAAGGAGTAGTAGTCAGCACAACTCCAATCTGACTCAAAACATCGCGCCCAATTAGGTCTGAAAGAGTTTCGGGCAGCTGCATCACATAGACGTTTAAACTGACCTCCTGCCCTTCAGGAAAGGTGGCCATTCTTCTGGCCAGACAACCGTACTTATCATCGTGACGTCAGCTCCGGTGTCTAGCATTGCATAGATTTGTACTGATGAATTCTTCTGACTCAACACAACATGCATGGTAGGCCGATGGTCCATCTTTGTAGTGAAACATACTGCCGGGCCTGTAGAACTGAAGCTCTGATTTCCACGGGGAGTTCTTGCTGAAGAATGGTTGAGTGACTTACTTATCATTACAATTTGTGCTATCCGGCTGCCTTTTGGAATAAATAGTGGAGGACAGAGGGTATGGACCATAATGTGAATCTGCCCCGCATAGTCAGCATTGATAACTCTAGGGACGATAAGTAGTCCTTTGATGCCTGCAGAGGAATGTCCCACTAAAAGTCCTCCTACTTTGCTGTTTTGAGTAATCAAAGGCCCAGCTGCGTTGCTAGGAATCTCATGTATGGTCGTGTCATTAAGAATGACGTCTATTGTGGTCTCCAAGTCGATTCCCAAGCTGCCTCTGGTTGTGGCCTGATGCCGTTGCGAAAAACCTTTGTTTTGCTTGGAGGATTAATTTCTTTCTGCACGCGGCCTCTCTCTGCACTCCTCTTCCTGTTTCCTGAACATGCTTTTGTGGCGTGGGTATTTTTTTGGCATTTGTCACACCAGACGGCGCCACGGCAGTTACGCTGGATGTGCCCCACTTCTCCACACCGATAACAACTACCGCGGAATAACTGTCTCATCTGCTGAGCACTGTTTTGTTGCACCACAGCTGCAAGCGGCTGGACAACTTCTTTGACTGCGCCTTGCACGACGGCAGCGACTGTCCCTTGTTGTTTCTGTGTGCCAGCTCTCTCTACTCTGGACAGCATCTCTTCAACTCCTGCTCCTTTTGGCAGACTTGCAAGAATTTGCTTTGTAACTTTATTGGCATTGTCAAAAGCTAATACCTGAAACATTTTTGTTTGCTCTCATTGTTCAAATCTGGATGATTCATTACTGTGTCCCACAGCTGGTCGATTAAGTTACTGTAGCTTTTGGTGGCCCCTTGCACTATCGTTCCGAAAGATGGAGCAGACGAACCAGGCAATGCAAGGAAAGCTTCCAGGGCAAGATGAGCCGACAACTGAAGCACATTGGCAGGGAAGGTTAACTGCACTTCCAGGTTAGCGTAGGTGCCTTGTCCAGTAAGCATCTCTGCTGTAATTACATAATAAGGGTCCCGCTGGTCCGGATGCCACATCGCCTCATCTATCGCCCGTTGTGTCCACGCTGATCCCCACAACAAGAACTGAGTAGGGGTTAGTAAAAATCAAATTCTGACAGTCATACGGACACATCAAGTCAGCGGAATAAATCCAGGTGACAATTTGTCGGGTGGCCTCAGATTTCACCCCATATTGAGATATGGTATGACGGGCCTGTTGTAAAATTTTCCAGTCATGTGGTTCCCATTTGCCATGACCGTCAGTCTGTACCACAGGACAGACTAACGTCGAGGTACTTCCTGTGCTGGCAGCAACACTTTACTGTCCGTCCAGGATAGCGTCCCTTATAATACCGCTCCAGCGGCCAGGTCTGATAGAAGCCGGAGGTCCGATTAAACATTTTGGAAAGGAAGCTTCATCTTCTCGCTGGGGGATGCTGGCGGTGGTTGACATATGCTGCAACCTTAAGTCCATCTTTTGGAGGCGCTGTAGGACTGATTGTAGAAGGTCACGGGTTCCCTTTTCCTGCAGCTCATTTCGCTCGCCATTAGGAGGAGTCGAGGGTGAAGACGCCTTGCTGGGGGGTGGCAATGGAGGATAGAGAGGAGGAGACGATGCTGTAGGCCGTACCTCCTCTCCCGTCCCCCCTGGGGGCGGTACTGGCCGCTCCTCCCCTCTCCCTGGGGATTGCAGTACTTCCGCATGCGGCTCATTTCTCTGCTTAGTCTCCCTAACAGCAACTTCTGGCAGGACTTCCGCCCTTTTAACAGCGCCTGAATCACTCTCCGCACTCGCCCGAATCTCGGCAATCGATTTACAGGTAGTCCCAGTCATCCCTTTTACGGCAGGCAGACCAAAAAACCGTGCTAATGTCCCGGGCTTAGGCGCTTTGTCCTTTTTGGGCTCAGGAGCTAGCATTTTGGTAGCTGCACACGCTACCTCCCATTCTGCTTTCAGAGCTCTTAAAGTCTCTACTACTGTTTGCCAAAACTCCCGGACAGCCTTTATCTCCGTTTCTTCCCTTTCCTCTCCCGTTATTGTCTTTTCCCACGTTGTCTCTCCCAACTCTTGCCATTCCAAGACAGAAAACAGTAACTGGGTATCCGCAAAGTGACCCCATTGCTGCCCCAATTTAATCAACTTCACGAGTTGTTTTGCCGTTGTCTCTATCGCTCTCTTGGAGAGGATACCGACGAGCAATGTTGCCGCAGCCTCTACTTCCATTCTTGCGGCCTCGGCCCTCTGTGAGGCGAGCGATCACCTCAAACTGTGTCTGCTCTGTGTCTATACACCCAAGCAGCAATGATGGGCACGTTTCCCCTGGGAGGCGGCCGAACGTGTCTGCCCTGCAACTCTGCACCCAGGCAGCACCTCTTCCAGCCATTGTTTTCCCACTCCCCTCCTTTAGCTGCTTACCACAGGCTCGGAGATTCTGCAGGGAAATGAAACATCCTCTGCCGCAGGGAAATCAACCATCCTCTGCTACCATTTGTTGGAGTGGGAGACACATTGGAAGTAACGACGTGACCTCAATTTGAGTATGGTCATTCTCCTTTATTAGTCAGCAAAACAGGGTTTATATAGGCAAAGCAATGGCAACTTCTGATTGGTTAGTTACTCTTAACCATATATGGGCAAGATTGCTATATCTCACTGTGAATGGTGCAGAGCGTCACCTCGATGCGGAAGCGGCGATAAGGCAGGAAGCGGTGGCGTGGCAGGAAGCGGTGACACGGCATTCCCCCTGCGCCAGCGTTCCGTGTTTGCCGCTTCACTTCTGCAGCAGTGTTCCGTGTTCACTGTTTTCAAGGCCTATCTCTGAGACAAAGCCTGGGTTGCTCAACGGCACCAAACCATGTCCCCTCTCATCCAGCCAGGACTCCACAGATTGCTAGTTCTGAACTAAATCTGCCCTGTTACTTTACAGCAGAATACCAAAATATTAAAAGAAATGCCAGTGTATCTTCGTGGAGACATCAACAACGTTTTCTGTAAGGTTTACAGAAGGAAAAATATTCTGTGCTGCTTTTGATACAATGAAAAATTGAGTAATGTGGTGAAAATTTGTGTGAGCACATGTTACTTAGCTTCTTGATATTTTTAGAAAGTCTCCTGCTCACATATAACTAAGCTACCACCATTTCACATTAGGTTAGTAAGTAATTGTAATGGAGGATAAGGAGGCTGGGAGGTAATGATCAAAATGTGGTCAGTGCTATCTTCACCACACAGATGAATCACAATATTAGTTTAAAACCTCAGATTCCTGGAGGAGATGATGATTTCCACCCCACCCTCTCTGTGTCGTATTTTTTTATCTTGGGTCACTTCATTATTAGTATTTCTCTCAGAGTTGTTATTTTGAATTCATGTGTCTAAGAACAAGGAGCTCCATAAAAAGAAAAGAGTTATTTCTGAATGCAAATTCCTTCTAGGCAGTTGAGGAGGTTTTCCTGGCAGCAGAAATGATGCGTTTCTAGTTAAGGATGTCAAAAGCATCAGGCCTAGGCAGTAGGATCTCTTGTATGTGCCAGTTAATAGTAGTTTTCCATGAAAAGCAAGGGTTAATGGAAAAATATGCTCCTAAGTTAAGGTAGGGATGGCATTTGTAGTAGTAGCTCTGCAAATGAAACACGGCATTCCCCCTGCGCCAGCGTTCCGTGTTTGCCGCTTCACTTCTGCAGCAGTGTTCCGTGTTCACTGTTTTCAAGGCCTATCTCTGAGACAAAGCCTGGGTTGCTCAACGGCACCAAACCATGTCCCCTCTCATCCAGCCAGGACTCCACAGATTGCTAGTTCTGAACTAAATCTGCCCTGTTACTTTACAGCAGAATACCAAAATATTAAAAGAAATGCCAGTGTATCTTCGTGGAGACATCAACAACGTTTTCTGTAAGGTTTACAGAAGGAAAAATATTCTGTGCTGCTTTTGATACAATGAAAAATTGAGTAATGTGGTGAAAATTTGTGTGAGCACATGTTACTTAGCTTCTTGATATTTTTAGAAAGTCTCCTGCTCACATATAACTAAGCTACCACCATTTCACATTAGGTTAGTAAGTAATTGTAATGGAGGATAAGGAGGCTGGGAGGTAATGATCAAAATGTGGTCAGTGCTATCTTCACCACACAGATGAATCACAATATTAGTTTAAAACCTCAGATTCCTGGAGGAGATGATGATTTCCACCCCACCCTCTCTGTGTCGTATTTTTTTATCTTGGGTCACTTCATTATTAGTATTTCTCTCAGAGTTGTTATTTTGAATTCATGTGTCTAAGAACAAGGAGCTCCATAAAAAGAAAAGAGTTATTTCTGAATGCAAATTCCTTCTAGGCAGTTGAGGAGGTTTTCCTGGCAGCAGAAATGATGCGTTTCTAGTTAAGGATGTCAAAAGCATCAGGCCTAGGCAGTAGGATCTCTTGTATGTGCCAGTTAATAGTAGTTTTCCATGAAAAGCAAGGGTTAATGGAAAAATATGCTCCTAAGTTAAGGTAGGGATGGCATTTGTAGTAGTAGCTCTGCAAATGAAATGGCTTGTGCCGCTTCTTTGCTGGAAGAACATTACTGACCTTTGAGCTGGTATTACTGGGTCGAAACACCATCTCTGTTACATGTTGATGAGTAAATGCATGGAAGTAATTTGGGATTTATTTTTTTGCTGAAATGTCAATGAACTA